GATGCGGACATATTTCTGGCCTAATTACCAGGGTGCACCCTCAGAATACGCTAGTTAGCAGTTTCGTATCCAAGCAAGACCTAGTGCCGTAGCGAATACCATTTCACTGCTAATAAATAGCACAGGACGGCTTATTGATGTTGGTTACCTGGGAAAGTGATGAATTAACACAGGACATTGGACCTCCCAACTGGACACACTTTTTGATTTTAGGATATGTACGCGTAGTCTGCTTCCTTCGCTCCCCACACAAGGCTTCATTTTGGCGTTTCTTCTGCGCGGTGTCTGCAGTCGGTCGTTGCCGGCTACGCCCGTCGATCACTCCAGAATTTGGATAGTAAAAAGAAGTCGGGGCGAATGAGTTCGGTAACCCCAGCTCCGTCAGCCAAATCCGAAATGGGCGTCGATACCGTGGTTTGCAGTTCGGCGCGCCGGTGATCAAAAGCGGCCATTTCAGCGGTCCAGCAGTGACACGGCGCATCCGTGTTCGCGTCAGGCCCGGCCTACTGATGTACGCGAGGTTCACGGCCCCGAATACCCCGCCTCACAATCCCCTCGGCGAACGCTCTTTGAGGGGATTCTCTGAGGATGACGGTGTAGTTCCCTCTCGTTGGAAAACTGCATGGTGCGTGGAGTTATAAAATCTACAAAAACTTCAGGCGGTATTCACGGCTATTCTCGCGCGTTCCTCCCCCATGCCGTTTTTTGTGTATAACAAAACCTTTCCCAGTGCCCCGTCTCCTTCCTCAGTTGACAAAGAAATACAAACTCTGTGAAAATACAAATTGCTCATTATCACCAATCAAAAAAAACCTCACTGCATTTTCAGTGGAATGGGGAAAAATATGTATGCCCCACTGAACTCAACTGCGCAGATTGTCTGTAGGAGGTACGTGGTGAAACACACACTTGAAGAGACAAAAAAGGGCAGCTAATTTAATTAACAACAACCGAGCCTGAATGACTCTGTATACTTGTAAACTACAATTTTCACCAAAACAAAAAACATAACGGTTTTTTGTGTAATCATAATCATGGACCCCATTACACCGGACAAGTAAAGTAAAAGACCAGCACCCGGCCCTGCTTACCAAAAAAATCTGCATTTCTGCGGTCCACGGGTCCTGTGGAGGTGCGCGCTTGCCAAACGGTTAGCGCCATTATGACATGCATTGTGAACTGCTCCGCCGGCTGCTCCGCCACAGCTCTGCAGCGAACGCCGTTCCAGGGGATTTTGTGCGGATCCGGGTACATGTATTGAAAAAATCCGCCTGGTCGTCTCGCATCATCCGTTCTACACACACAGAAAGAAGAAGAAGAAGGTACGTAGTAAGTAAAGTGTTTGCGGCGGGTTGTGAATTTTTTTTTCATTTTAAATTGGCCGTCGTGGAATGCCTTTTGTGTGTGATGAAGTGCGTCTGACAAGGCCGTGAACGTGGTATGCATGTATGTGCAAATTCCTCTAAGCTTAAAAACATGATTGCTTTGTGCAATTTCCCCCCATTAAAGTGTCAATTTGCAACCAAATTGTCTCAAGCATTATGCTTTCCTCAACAGAGGGCGAGGTTTTTTCTTGAATGAGGTGGTGGTGGCGATAAAAATCACGGCTCTCTAAAATCTGGAAACTACATGGCAAACCATGCCTAACTGTTGCCAACAATTTCATGACCTCCCAAAATTTAGCCACAAAAAAATTGATTATACGTTCGGGGCACTTGCTAAGATGATTGATTAACTTAGTCAAGAGTGGCGATATCAAGAACTGAGACAACATAAAATAAAATGAAAATGGAACCATTTCCACAAATTGAGCAGGGTAAATTGAACAAGATTATAATAATTAAATTGCATATTAACTTCCGCCCCATACTGAACGGGTTATCCGGCTCTTCTACCTGTTCAATCATCCTCTTCTTCGAATTCGTGCAGGGTGCAGTTGGAATCCCTCACGCTCAACAACCACACGCTCACTTCAGACAACGCCTCATAAAATATTTTTTTTTCATTCATTACCTAGTTCGAGTGAATAGAACACACAACAGGCTCGGGATTTCGGTATAGAACATTGCTGGTAATAAAAAAAAATTACTACAGGGCCTCAGTGCCACTAAGCACAGATTTTTAAAGGATAATAGTTAGTGTATTTCAAAGTTTGTTATCCTCACAACTATGTATATTGCTGGTCTATCAATTGTTCTGTTTGAATATTCATTAATGCTGTTGGCCAAAAAATTATAAGTAAGTATGTAACTCAAATAATTGTACACACTATCTCAATTTCTAGAGCTTGTTTAGGCCATATGCTACCTTCACTGCTTTCCGCCATTCTGTTTGAAGATTAATAAAATTACAAAGAATAAAGAGAGCGGTCCAACAGTGTCATTAATTTCATGCACATGCATTGAACTGTAGAGGTTAAATAAAATGCTACTTTTTCCACAATCATTTGGGACGATTATTTTTGTCGTTCTTGAAGAAATTATTCTTTAAGGTGGATCTTACCAGTCAGTCGAGTCGTGTGGAACAGAACGTCATCAGCCCATTCAAAGTATATATATATATGCACCACGTCTGCCACATTGTCCGTCTACTAACACCGTTTGGGGGATATATTCTGGCGGGTGTGGTGTGCGGTCCGCTCACGAGAGGGAAACTCCGAGGTGGCCCCGCGCAACTGTCGGTAACGAAGTCAGCATTTTCCCAACCCCCGGCTCCTCCGGTGCACATCGCCGGTTTTTCCCGTTAGTCGCATCATCGCCACAACTGCTCCGTGAACGCCGTTTGAGGGGATTTTGTGTGATTGACAGTGTTTGTACCCTCTCATTAGAAAACTGCACGGTCAACCATTGAGAGCCTCCAAAGTAAAACAACTGATTTGGACTCGCGGCTTGCAGTAGCCACAGACATTTTTTTTGGCTGTGGCCAAACTAAAAAGGGTCAACAATACCGGCAGTTATGATGATAAAAAAATGATTGCGCAGAATACATGAACCACACACACCTTATTAAGTGAAACGCTAAATCAAGTAAATATGTGTGCGGCTCTAGTGTGTGAAGAACAGCGGCGTGTAGTAAGCATTTGGAATGAACTATTTCCGTGTTTCAATGCATGCGTACACATAATTATTATTGCAATGCTCTACTGTGTTCCGCAGTGTCCCTACTCACATGCAAAATCATCTATGCACATGTACATGTGCACAATGAATTTGATCAATGTGGGGGGGTACTAGTGCTATTTAGTAGGGGATGTTGATTGTGTGTGGAAAAACCCTTTGATATCTGTTATACATGTGCATGTACAAAATGAATTTGATCAAGGGGGGGGTACTAGTGCTATTTAGTAGGGGTGTTGATTGTGTGTGCAAAAACCTATTGATATCTGTTATACATGTACATGTATATCTACCCTGTGATAAATATCATGCACTGGGCAAGGGTCCCAACCAAGCTGGAGAGACGCTGCAAAAATTTGTTATGATATTTTTTCGTTGAAATATATTTTTAACCATCTTTTTTAATCTTTTCATCTCACATGAAAATCAAAAAGAACTACAAAGGATGAACCATTGTCATCAATTTGTCTATAGACTACTTATGAATTCTGCACACCTCAGATGCAATTTAAGAGTTTCTTAATATTGCAGAGTGTACGATCATCGAACAACAATCACTTGGATTGGAGGAATTGTATTGTTTGTGCAATAACATATACATCGTTGAAGACTTTTTCATTTGTTGCAAAGTGCATTTAAATTCTTCTTTCAGCCCCGTTTCACTAAGGGACTCTTCAAAGAAACTAAATAGGCCTTCATGTATTACAAAATTCTTGTTAATTATGGACGTCAAAAAAATCCCCTCAATAGGAGGCAATGGGGTACATTATTAAGAAACAAACGACCTCTATGCACAGTTGCCTCAAGTTATCGAAAATGCTGATTTATTTCCTTGGTATTTCTTTCCATAGTTGCAAATTACGTAAGAGAAAACCACTGTCATTTAAACTCTTATCTTGAACAAAAGATTGGAAATGCAGACTCGTCGGAGTTAACATCTATTTGTGCACGTTCACATTACGGTACATCTGTATTTGAGATCTGGGCTTGAGCGACCTGTCCGAATGGTCCCGTTTTTGCCGTTGACCAAGTTTGAATATCAATCAATGTACGACTCCTGGATTTGGGAAAACACCTATTACGTAATGGTTTCATCTCGCGCCTGAGGGCGTTCAAGCGGATGGGAGGATCCATTAGGCCCTGCCCATTGTTTTCAGGCCAATCACAGTCTTGGTTTTATGTCCCACATGCGTGCACATAATTCCGACGTGCGCGCACGCACGCGCGTAGGATGCGTGCGTCTGGAACATGTAGTGTGGCATTGAAGAAGAGCATGTGCTGCGTACTTACGTGCGCAGTGGGCGGGGCTTACTGGATCAGTCTATTTGCTCACTGTCCTGTGTGTAGGTATAATTCGGCACTGGCCAGAATGGCAACATAAACACAGTAATTTTTCCCTGCTTTGACGGTCGATACAAATGTAACTAATCAACAAACAAACTTTACACTCTGTGGTGTTCAATTAACACAGTGTGGTGTCTTTATAGAAACTATTTTCACAACGCAAAGTGTTTATGTAACACGGTCGTATTCGCAGTGTACCAGCCTCGACGCCTCACGCACTTGATTTGCCTACCGCAATTTTCCTCACGCACTCCAAGTTCATTCTCTCCCAATCTTCGTGTTTCCGGGACCACACGAAAACAATACTCTCCCAAAAATGTACATTTAATACCCTTCATCCTCACAGACCTACACCGGACAGATTTCTGCAGTGAAAATAAGCCAGCACGATGTCTCCCATTCTATAATCATATCCATCAAGGGTTATGGAAGAAAGACCCTGAAGAAATAAATGGGAATTTTTTGGAAGGACCCTACCTCTATACCTGAACCCCCCCAGGAAAGGAAACCTAAAAAAAAAAATGGCTATGATGTTTGTGTTAACAATCTTGTTTTATGAAAGGAAAGTTACAGAAAACATCCCCTTTCACTGGGGCCCATCGCTCTCCTCTCGTGATTCTCATAATTCCATTGTCATCTCATTTTCTTGACTCGCTGCAAAGCACTCTGAAGCTCGTGACGAATACTCTTTCACTTTTTCCAACTAAAACGCTTTAAAAGATGCAGATAACAGGTTAACAACGTCAAATAAAGGACATTGGGCTTAAGTTAAATCTGTAACCGAAATTGGACTAAGCCTAAACTTAAGAGTGGTGGTTAACAACTGTGTCCTTTTTTACATTGATATATTTTTACTCCCGACAAAAAAGAGGTTATACGTTGCTATGCTTGTAATTCTCAGAGGCTGTTTTAATTATTTTAATTTTGTTACAATGAATGCACAAAAGGTTTACTCGAGCATATCAAGTGATACAAAACACTTGTCCTCTGAAAACGTGTTAACGCATAATCTTTATAGGCTCCAGACAATTCAGCCAACTCTGGTGCCGGAAACCTTAAAAAGCAAACAAACAAAACAAAAGAAATTCAGCCAGATCGGTATTTTAACAGCGCATGCCCAAGAGGAAGTGCATCCAAGGTCATTCAAGAAGAGCAATGCATGCGATCGTCTGTTAGCTGGTCCATACGCGAACTGGTACGCATACTTTGTTTTCGAATGGCCTTACTGTTTTGAATACCGGGCTGAAAGTCCAAAGTGAGATCCTGAGCATTCAATCATCCACTTTGAGGTCTCTGTTCAAATTGTAAAATAATATTTCCCAGGCTTGCACACCAATTAAACCAAGCGGGATCATAAAATTAAATTGATGATACTTATTAAAGACAGTCATGGGGGAAATACAGGACCAAGGTAGGGAAGTGTAAAAATATGCAGAAATATTAACAGTTCTTATTATTCAAAAATTTGAAACGGAAATTTCAATTCATAATGTAAACCTCTTCCAGAATAGAGATACCATACTTTTTACAGTGACGTTACTTATTTTATATGAATATAACCGTGCATAATACTGATTTACCTGTAACGATATACACAGGATAATATACATCTATTTTACAGCTAAAATGCCTATCCTACAACTGTCGCACTGCTCGCACTTTTTGGTCACTTGACTTCATAGGGCTACACGCACAATTCACATGATAATATACATGTATACTCATTAAAAAACATTTAAAATGTCCTGCTCGTAGTACTTGGCAAAACCCATTGCAACGATGCAGTTTTTAATCGAAGTGCAAATGTTTGCAAGCTCCAAATAACAAGGGCAAACTTATGCACCCATCATACTGTACACAGTGCATAAAAATCACCTGTGGGAAGCGTATTTTGCATCCATAAACTGCTCAATTTAAAATATGCTTTTCGGAAAGCACTGAAATAGAAATGTGCAGATTTGATTTCCACTAAAGGACCACTGCATCCCCGCTCACTGCATCAAAGATCTATGTAAAGGAGTGATTCCAAATAGCGTCAGCTTTTCGCGTTCGTCCCAGCAAAACTCCGGATCCTTTCGGTAAAATTCGTCCATCACTGACTACCGTCACATGGATCTGTCCCTTCTCCTCATTCACACATTCCGGTCGTAAATGTCGTCTTCAACCCCTTTCTCGTCCCTCGCTCGGCAGACCCCATCAGGCCTTGCCTCCCCCTCAGTCTTGGCGTCGGCGCAGGCCGAGCGGTGATGGTCGTCGCGAAGCAGGTTGAACTCCTCAACCCGGGCGGCCTCGTCCGGTTCTGTGTCCGACAGGGAGGCGATTGTTGTCAGCTTGATGGCGTTCCTGTTCGGGTCTGCCTTGGGAAGACGGATACCCTTCTGCCAGCCCTGCCGACCGTTGGACATCCGGCTCTGCCGATCTGCAATATCACGAGGTGAACTATTAAGTTCCTGTTCTCAAGCACTGGGCAAGTTCAGGAAATGACTAAAGTTGGTTCGATCAACGTCGTCCGAACGATAGATGGTTTGGACCACTTGACCATTGAAACTAGGCCCAGAGGTATGACCACACAGCTGGTTTTATCGATGATCGATTAATTTATCATTGTCAAGGAAACCATTCATTTTAAAAAAAAATTAACTGTACGAGATGTCACTGTAGTCATGTAGGCCTACACTGGGAGAGTTGCAGCCAACAGCGAAACGTTAGTAACGACAAAATTTTGAACAACATTTCTACTGGGGACGTTTGAGTGTGACTGTATTTCGCGTGCGCCTTGTTAAAAAGCACGTGCAATGGTCGAACTATATATTTCATGCCTGAACATTCCACATGGCCTTATGCCAGTAGACCATTATTTCCATTACCAAAAGTCGTTTTCCATTACCAAAAGTCGTGTGACAACAGAACAATAATAACTGCCTGCAACACCCACCTCCTGCAAAGTTGACTTGCTTCATGTCAGTGGTCATGGTGGATAACGACAGGTTGAGTGAGGTGCGCGCCCTACTCATGACCCGCCGGACGTAGCGGGCTGTCAGCAGGGTGTACAGCATAGGATTGACAGCCGAGTTGACCGGAAGAACAAACACAGCAATCCACGCGTACACCTACAAAAGTTTGGACATTAATTTAAATTACAAGGACATAAAATACATACAGTGCAATATGCGTAATGTATATAATCATAATATTGTATGGTATGATACATATATTTTATATCAAATTTTTCTGCTGTAGATAAAATTATGTTCTTTCAGAAATATTATTTTAAAATGTTCATGCAACACAGGTTTTGTATTTAATCTCTACCTCAAGACATGAAAACAAGTACTATTTGTTTCAATTCACTGAGCCAAATCCAATTTTTCAACGCTGAACCCGCGGAAAACAATACCAATGGTTGCATTCTCTTCTTCATGCGGTGGAAGCTAAGGATAAACACTCATTGATGACCTCCTTTCTGGATTTTCTATTACAATATTACAAGAGTCATGAATCCTCAACTTTCAATATCATTTCTTACACGTCACTCAAGGTTAGGATTGAATTCTGAAATGATCATAAATGTTAGTAAAAGTAAAGAAAATGCAAAACGATTGGAATGTATACACTGGTGACGCCAAAAATGGTTTCAACGGGACTTGGGCATCCATATTTTTTGAATTCAGGAGACCGTTCAGACATTGTTGCTAGAACCATTGACACAAGATGAACCCCATGCCAGTATGATCTAATGTCTGTCGATGATTGCCGCCCGTGGTCAACAGCGTCTTGGTGCTGGACGTCTCTCATACAAAATGATGCATGAGCGAGTCCGTTGACCGATCACAGTGCGCGAAATCAGTCTACTCAATGCGCGTTTGGAAAGGGTCGACAGATTTCGTGCGTTGTGACTGGCCAACGCGTTGCAAACTATTAGAGTCGCACTATTGTGCATCACCCGTATTGGTCAACGCGATGCAAACTCTTGGAGGCGCACTATTGTGAATCGTCCATATTGGTGTAGTATCACAGACATATAAACAAATAGACCACCAGTCTTGCGCGTATAACAGTGATTTAAAATAGCGTGGGCAAACAGTGGGCAAAACGATGGATGACAGCGCATTCAGAGCAAATAATCGCACTCAGATTGCATGTATTTGTTAACATGTACAGTACTCTCAAAATACCTTCCCTCTTTAGTCTTTGGTACTGCTATGTATTCTTTTCAAATGTTGCGACCGCACTGTTTCGAAACGACATGGCAACAGAGGATTTTTTTCACAATCGAAAAATGGCTTGATAAAATTTTGTGGCTGCGTGTACATTCTAATATACCGAGGGGTGAATTTCCCAATGCTTTTGGATTTAGTCGTGCCGCCTCGGCTACGGTACCCCGCCGGTTTCTTTTTTAATTAGGAGCTGTCTGTTTATGGGTTTATATGTCTGTGTGTTGTACAGAGTTTAAAATACACATCCAACGTCTGTTGCAGCTGTCAGTACCAGATAATAGTCATGTCCAAATTCACTTGGCTGACTCTAGAGATAACATGAACCAATGGAAGGTGTGATGTAGCGGCTGCTTCTCCTTTTCGTAGGTTCATGTGTTTTATTCCACCATAGGCATAAAATTACATTACAGCTTCAGTATCATTATGTTGATCTGTAGGAACGAATGAAGGATAAAAGGAAGTCCGGTCGTGCGGGGCTGACATGCAGCGCAGTGGGTACGGAATGGGATCAGCACTGAGAATGTTTGTGGGTTCGAATCCCGAAAGCTATTTTCTGTATCTTTGTAATTTTTCTTAGTCTGTTTCTTGTTCAACAAAGATCAATTTTTGAAAGGTTCTTTAATAATTGTTCCTTCGACGTTTGTTTTACTAGAGAAGAGCACGCTCATTTCAACGCAGCGTCGACTTGAGCGTGACTCATTGGTTTATACGTATCACAGAATACGGTAAATACGGTTACATGTAGTTCAGAATGGCGGCATTTTCCTGTAAAGCTTCGTCAATTAACGGCAGTAAGTAGTCGGATGGGGTGCGTCAACCGTTCGCCAGTGTTCCATCTTGGGAATTACCTCATTGGGGATGTTTGCTCCACCCAACGAAGCCACGCCCAGTAGGATGATAGGCGCCCAACAGACAAAGTCGGTCATGACGATAAGCGTCATCCGTCTCGCCATCGCGTCACCCGTGTTGGCATCCCTTGACCTGAGCGAAACGGTATAAATAATACACCACTGAATTTGCCGGGAGCTTAATTAATAGGGTTAGTCTGAGATGATTCAGTCTTGAAAAAGTGGTTAATGTTGTTGTACATAATAGTCAAACGTTAGATTCTGTTACTAAGAGATTTGCGCGTGCTACAAACTGAAATACAAACAAATCTGGTCGAGCTACTGGTCGTGTTATTCGAGTTAACACAACGGCACTCATGAGTGCGCAAAGGGCAGAAATAGGGCAAAAATACGACCCGTGGCTATGAATTGAGAGTACACTCTTGATCAAACTAGGATATGTGTGCATCGCAAAGTTACATCAAGATAGCAGAAAGGTGTGTTTACTGTATATGTTCCAACGATGTGTTCCGAGAGTAATACGCACGTAGCATTTCTCTGTACCTGCGAGAAGACAGAAAAAAAAACCGCCCAAACGCAGCCATAGTTTCAACCCCAAACCATCACCTGTTAACAGCCTTCTGCGTCCTCCTGGCCACCACAAACATGACGGAGTAGGACGCGGCAATGGTGGCGAAGGAGATGAAGTTGACGACAAGAAAGATGAAGACCGAGTACTCCCAGCCCGGGGGCCAGTTGCGGGTGATGTGCAGGGCAAGGCACACGCCCGAGCGCCCGTAGAAATTGCCAAAGTACGGCACGCCTGTCAGCGGCAACACGGCCAAGAAGATCACCTGTGAGCGGAAAATGGGACAGATAATGAACACCATTTTGATATTCAACTGACGAAGAGACGCGAACTTTGGACCCTCCGACAAGCCATCCCCGTTAACAAAAAAGACCTGTGCAGCGAAATGCCAGCTTACAAAGCAGCCGGTAATACATTGTAAAAAGTACCTGAAATACGTTACAGCTTCAGCATCATAACATTTAATAGGATATTAGCACAAACGAAAGACAAGAGAAGGAACTAGTTTGCGTGGAGAAGGATGACCAAAGGGGGAATTTTTGTGGTTTGGATACTGGATGGCATTTTTTTATTTGTTTCCTATTGGAAAAGATCAACACCAAATTACATTTTGTACCTTTGCAGCTTCCTTTCGTCATGTGAAAATGCTAACATCAACACAATAATATTACCGCTGAACTTGCTTATAAGCGCGGCAAGCAATAATATAGTTGGATAATGTATAACTTCAGCGTTTCAGATGTTAGAATGTAAAAGTCTCGTTTGTTGTTGACGAAGGTGGGCGTTCTTGATCACTACAACTGTTTGACGTGAGATGTGCAACCTTACGCCGGCCGTGCCTTTAATGACGTTTTATGTACTGTTTCCTCGAATACCGAATGACACTCATATGTCAGCGAAATAGAAGCCTACGTGTATGCATGCATATTGTACAGTGAAAAGGCATGTAGTTAATGAACATCATTTTATGTTTTCCAGGTGAAAATGACACATTGCGTCTTCCTTAAGATTTAATCGTGGAAAGCACGGATATACATGAGTGGCTGCTGGGTCCTTATAGCATCCTCATTAGGCCATACAATGGCCAAAATAGACATGCCAGTAAACTCACTATGAGCCAGGCTACAACCATGACGCGAACTGCACCGCTGTACTCTATGTCCTTGATGCGGAAAGGGAAGAGGATTGACAGGAGGCGGTGCAAGGTAATGATGGTCAGGCTGAAGACGGACAGCTCGCTGGAGAACGTGGACAGGAAGCCAGCAAAGTGGCAGAGCCCCGAGTTCCGCCACTCTTTGTCGTATATGATGTAGTGGCCGCGATAGAAGGAGTCGACCGCCGCGATGATCAGGAGGTAGACACCCATGCAGAAGTCGCCGATGGCCAGGTTCGTGATCAGGAATGAGTGCACCTGTTGCCGTGGGACATAAAAACAGGCGTGTGTTTCAAACAAAGGCATTCAACGCAATGATATCTGTCAAGTTTTACCCTTTGATGCTTTTAACCAATCGCAGTCATGTCCACACGCTGGAATAAGGTGATAATACAGTTAACAACAACACTATTCATACCCCTTATAAATGTTAGGGTTTTTTAAAAAGGTTTTTGTGTTCTTCTAACAAATGAAAGGTGGGCACATAATATTTGGGACATAGTTGAATACTTTTAGCTGTCAGATATAAATGAACTAGGGCTTTGGTTTTTACCTCATTCGCATAACAAAGAGAATGCTACATTGTTTAGATTCTGACATGCTCAGAATTTTTCATACCCTTCTGCATGTCACAGTATTTGTCCACATTCCTCCGAAATGCACATGCTACAGACATTCCTAAGATTCTGCATTTCGTTTTGAATATATATGTAACAATGTATACATCCTCTAGGAATCTGTTAAGGATGTCATTTATCTTTGCAATTAATTGTGACACTCCAGCACAACTTGTGTGAAATGGGCGCCAAGGTTTCAACGCAGATAATCCACCGCACACTGCACAAGGAAAGGCTACATGGGCGTCGTCCAAGAAAAGAACCCTCTCCTCACTCACAGGCATCGAAAATCTCGACTCACATTTGCCAGAGGACACCGAGAGAAGCACCAAAGTTTCTTGTCATCAGTTCTACATGGTAAGACGAGATGAAAATGGAGCAGTTTGGCCACAGGGCTGTTTCCTTCGTTTGGCGCAAGAAAGGCGAAACATTCAACCCCCAAAACACTGTGCCGACCTTGAAGCTTGGAGGTGGGAGCATCAAGTTGTGGGGTTCGTTCTCTGCAAGTGGGCCTGGTTATGGCAATCTCATAAATGTGGAAGGAATTATGAAGGAATTTTACATCCAGATTCTGCAGGAATATGCCAAGCAGTCCGCAGAAAATCTTCATCTTGGCTTCAACTGGCCATACATGTACCGGTACCAATAGGACAATGATCCCAAACATACGGCAAAGGCAGTCAAGAAATTGTTCCAGGATTAACAACGTGGAGATGCTACCATGCCCAAGCCGAAGCCCATGCCTCAATCCCATCAAAAACCTGTGGAAAACCCTCCAGTCCAAGGTGCATGGCCGCAGGCCCTCCAACCTGAAAGAGCTAGAGGTCTTCGTCAAGGAAAAATGAGCTAAGATTCCCGTGGAGCTGTGCCAAACCCTCGTCAACAACTACACAAACTGCCTGGATGCTGTAATCAAAAACAAGGACTTTGCAATTGACTATTATTAACTCTTATAGGCAAAGGGGAATGAATAATTCTGAACATGTCAGAATTTAAACGATGCAGTATTCTCCGTGTTATGCAAATGAAGTACAACCAAGGCCATTAGTCATTTATACCTGAAAGCTAAAAGTATTCAACTGTATCCCAAATATTATGTGTCACCTTTAATTCGTTAGAAAAACACAAACATCTAAATTTATAAGGTGCATGAATAATTTTGTTGTCAAGTTTACCTACGAAGCGCGCATCTGAAGCATGCATTGTTAGCATACAAAAGGCGCAGTTACTGTCATGTGAAGTGGGTTGGACTTACTGAAAATTGGCACTGTAGTATTTCCCATCCTTACATATGCAATATACACAGAACAGAATTCAATGCTGAAAAAGTAAATACCTAACTAATTGAATGCCTGCCTTAAATTGCAATGTACAAAATGCACAAAGTTTTCACAACTCAATGTCCAATGCCTTAGAAAATGCAACCAACACATTGCAACAGAAGCTGGAAATGTCGATCTCTACATTGTTAAGGGGGTCCTAAGAGATTGGCAGAAAAGAACTTGTAATTAGCAAAGGAAGAGGGAAAACTGGCTCGCTATTTTTTCTCATCTAATGGAACGGAAATACCATGCATGTAGCTCCAAGGCAATAAATTCATCAAAAAACCCATCCAGTAAATTTTTGTTTTATTGAAGGAGCTTCCAGACGGTTGGGCAATCAACCTTTGAACAAATTGTTTGAAATATTGTACGTGCCACTTCTTATTTAAAGTAAAGAAGGTATTATGCGTTTTGCAAACATAGCAATGACACTATAGATTCCTTCAACTGACTACTTAACAATGCAAACATGTGAATCTCACAGTACATAAACACATGCCAAACATAATTATTGTCTTCACGCAACTTGTACCACTAAGGGTAGAGGGTAGTAAACCTACGTGAAAGTGTCATCAACGACCAGATTTGTTTCCCAGAAAGCTATATTTACCCATGTCGGCCCCACAAGTTCAGGTATATCGGCCAAGGGGGCCTGTCGAACAAAGAACTACAAAAACACACACAAAGAGAGCACAGCGATCAAATAAAACAACATCACGGCAACAAAAGAATAGAAAACTAGAGAGAGATGTAGGTGCTTCACGGCGCACAATATCAGCCGGTGGTCTGCACGTAACAGGTTGGAAAATCACCTAAATCTATCTTTAATAGTCAGCATATGACCGGTGCTGATCACAAAGTGACCCTTGACCTTGAGATTCAACAGGCCGTCGATGTGGGTGTTAGTGATTATGTCCAGCTGGAAATTGACCGAAATACGGGGAAAAGTCGTACTATTCAGTATGCTCTTGAAAAACTAACCCCACCGACCAATGGCTGACCTACAAGATACATTTGCAAGATGCTTTCAAGATATAGTGACCACTTGAGGATTAATTCGTTTTAAATGCCTTGACGGGGATACTTTCCCATGTTTTGTATAAGACTGACAATTGCTGACCATTAGCTGACCTCTGTCTTCAATCTGAAAAACTGTCCACATGAAACTTGCAATAGAGTTAAAATGGACCATGTGTGACTTAAAGGGTAGCAGCAAGGATTTTTTCTTAGACTTTTTTTTGGCAACTTTGTATTGTCCTTTAATGTATGAACATATTTGGACGCTACCATTCGGTTAAATGCAGTGACAAGTGTACTTTTGACCATCGTTGAAACTCTGGGGCTTTTGCCAGAGATGAACATAGCCAAATGCAGATAACCGTGAAGCAACCTTTCATTCATTTCAAAGATATGGCCCCTACAGTAATAGTGACCTCTAGATGATCTTGAGCAGTTGAGCCTAATTCTGTGAACACCCTACATGAGGCATAGTGTAGGGATGCAACTTTACCAAGTTTAGCGTTGATAAGATGAAGACTTTGGGAGTGGCATTTTTTAAATGGGAGTTGCATTTTTTAAATGCTCAATGAAATGATAATTATTGATTACTAGGTGACCTTTGACCCCGGTCGGAATACACCACATATCGGGCTTGGGTTATTGGTCCATATGGCTAAGTTCTGGTGTTCTAGTTGGACACATCTTTTTGATGATACTATTTTACTTTTGCTCTTCAATGACATCCCCTGTTCAATTTCATAATTTATGTCAGAAAAATATAAAATATAAAACAGCAGAATAACATTGACTACATTTCCAATCACTAAAGCAATTGCCAATAACAGCAATTTAAGGCTTGTGGTGAGACAGAAGGTGCAAAAAAAGAAGACGAAGACACAGAAGAGCCATCATATTGTACAAGCTGACATCAAAATGTGTAAGGCTCAGTAAGAAGATGAGATTAGTTGTTTGCATTTCCTACGGAAATAAAATTTCTCATGCTTTGTGATGAAGAGTAACCTACAAAGAAACGTATAAAATGCTGTAAGATGGGAATCGTTTGTCAGAGGGGACAGTAATACTAATATGCGGTTGCTCAGCACAGAAATATGCTAAGTAGCAAATATTCGCTCAGCAAAAGCCGACTTAAAATAATCTAACACTCCACACGACACACATTGCCTAAATAAAACTAGTTTAAGCTGTGTTTTGCTCATCGTATAAATTTGCTGAGAGTTTACCCATAGTAGCCTTATAATATTGAGTCTGAATTTCAACTTCATTCTGCTTTGAGTGTCTTTGGTCCTCGGTGAATAAAATAGTAAGAGATCCTATTCAAACATATGTAGGTTTAGCTGCTAAGAAGAAAACAACTGCCACGTAAGTGCCTCTTACACAGAGATTCCAAGAGAACCAATAGAAATTTTAGTACATCACTGGCGTTAGGGATAGTCTGACATTTTTGTTAAACAAAAGCTTCGCACTGGGTATTTCGCCTGTGTTTTAGCAGTTCCATGAAATCATGCCTGGTTGTATGTGTACTCGTGCCGACTCACCCGGTTGTCTCGCTTGTTATTCATCCGCATCAGGATGACGACCAGGTTGCCGACCGAGGCCATGATGCCAATCACCCAGATGGATCCGCGGAGGAACACATTGGCCATCAGGTCCTCACATGACGAGAAAATGCCCGGTTGAGGCTCGCATTTCTCTAGCGACACCATGTCCCTTGCCATGCAACAGAACCGGTACTCATCAGTGTACCTTGAACAAAAGGGTCCCATCAAAGGAAGTCAGAGTACACGTCACCAAAAGGTTTCCGCAAGAGTAGGCAAACTTGCCTCCAGTACGCCGTTATACATGGTATAATTGTAAGCTAGACACCTGGCCTCATTCACCAACAACAACCGTGCATTCCTTATGAAACGGTATACTGGTCACTGATGATGTACTACAGGATTGTCGTTCTGTTCCAGTGCTTGGTACTAGCTTTGATTTTTTATTATACTTGCTGCCAAGTCTTTGAGTGTTTACCTACCAACTAAACATTGTACTGGCACCGCAGTCTCTGCCTACGGCATTTGGCGAACGTACGGTGGGGCATGTAGGTCAGTGAGATACCATGTAGAGGCTTTGCATGGTAACATGTGCATCTTGCAGGGCAGTTCTTTTGTTTCACTGGGAAACCTCCTTCGTGTATACCTTGTGGAACAATAGCACGATGGCAGCCATGGAAACCCTCTACGAGGCCAAGTCTGGTAAGGGGCAATTTTGTTGACCCCGGTCGACTTTCCTGGGTACACTATGCACTGCATAGGTCATGGTGTTGTGAAGTGTTCTTCACATCGTGTGGAACTTCCTATTTATTTGTCTTGCAGGTTACGTGAGCTTGTCTTTTATATAGGCCTACTGGTCACGTTAAAACACTTGGTGTAGTTACTTGCTCTGTGGTCTGAGGGAACCTTTGACAGTATGCCCATCCAACATGTATTTACATGTAGTTCGTTACGTTAATATTATTATTTAGACCCGAGTTTAGTTTCGTCGATTTTTCTTTTGACCGACAGTTGCAGACCCGAGTCACCTAATTGGGACTCCAGTCGCTATTTTTGTGACTTGTGACTCGACTTGTACCTATCAGTTTTTAAATTGTGACTTGACTTTGATTTTCACATTATGACTTGTAACCAACGCAAGTCAGAAAAACACTTTGAAGTTTTAAATTGGGCCTACCAACTTACGCCTTGCGTTCTTACAATAATCAGCGTTCAGATTTCGTTCGGCTTGCGACTTCTACTACGATCTTGTCTGAACAGGGCCATCTTTGAATCACTTGGCTGTGGTTTGAAATTACACATAGCACGAAACGACTCGTACTTGAAGAAAATACTTGTGACTTGCTTAATTGTGTTTGGGCCACACTGACTTGTGATTTGACTTGTTTTGACTTGTGATCAAATGACTCGTGACTTGAAATGTGACTGGACCATATAAGTTGTGACTTGGTTGAGACTATGCAAAAGTTGACCTCTGACTTGACTTGGACTTGCAAAAATTGACCTGCTGCCACCTCAACTGACCGATGATCCCAGTATCGTGCTGTCTACAGCACAATAATAGCAATTACAAACAGAAAATGAACAAATAAAAAACTTTCAATGCAGCCCCCCACCTTAACAAATTTTCACGGTTGGGCAGTTTTCCAACTTTGGTGAATCCCCCCCTCGTGGATACAGATTCACACTACACCTACAGGGGCTGCTTATGTTGACATATTAAATAATTATATTGGAATTTATCTTCTGTTTTTACCGTCTATGATGAACATTATAGCACAAAACATGAAGGTACTTTTATTCGTCAATACATTCAAAAATGTCTCATTGAAATCGTTACTTACAGCTCTCGTAACTTTGGGAGACCATAAAATGCTTCGGCGTGTATTTTCTGAAGCTTATTGTGTCGAATGTCTCTGAAAAGAAAGTCCAATGAAACAAAGGTAAGGCATTGGATACGTAAATAACAAATCTGAAGATCCTTCTGAATAATGACCTTACAAATGAAATGCAAAGGATAGAAATATCTATCCAACAGGTTTGTGTGAAAATAATTGATGTCCGTTACATTTCATAATTATGACTTGCCAACTGGTTAAGATTATTTGGCAGGGCTAATTTGCATTGGTTATTTATCCCCAATGATTCAACAAATTCATGTTTATAGGAGTGGTTCCCCTGTATTTTGTGTGTTTTTTTTACATGTCTTCAGCTGCCCAATAAGCCTATAGATGTGTCGTTTTAAAGGAGCAACTCCCTCTGAGAATTAATTGTACAGGTAACCCCCCCCCCTTTATCGGAACAAAGGCCTCTTTCAGCTATACTTCCCCTGGCCCCTCAGTTGGCATGCTGGCATGTAGGCCGGCAATGTAGGGAACAAACATGCCTCTCACTCCTCGCCCACAGCAGTATGGGAAGAGTCTGCTATACCTACCCAAACAGCCACTATATGCAAATTTTCTTTGCGTCTGATTCTTTCGCTAATACTTAATCAACCGTAATGCACCCTCTAGACCCATGATGAAGGACGTCGGCAGAGTACATGTATATCAACCTAGCGTCATGAATCGCCATTGGGTGGCTAGGGTTCACGTCTGCGGAGATCAGCCATTTGGAACAGATGAAGTTAATGGCCGAGGAACCCGACTGTCTAGGGTGAAGTTCTCATTTTAAGGGTAACGATAGAAGACGAGGCACATTACCTCTCAGCTTTGATTCATGGCCCGATATCATCACGAAGATTAGAGTAGGACGGTAACACTGGCCATTAGGGTAGTAGCCGCATTCTTTTCTTAACCCGGGAGCTGGCCTTCATTGTAATTATTAACTTCCTTATGAATATGTACTAGCTTCCCTCGGTTTATCAAATCAGCTCCCAAATTGTTAATCTATTATTTACGTACGTGCTTTTTCCCTGCACGCACCCTCTCCGGCCGAGTATGCACATTTTTCCCCTCTCTCTCGCTTTTACCTCACCACGGCCGGTGGTCAGTTTACTCATTGTGCCGTTTTTATCCGCAAATTTCGCCTACTTTTAGCCATTCTGGGAACCTGTTTAGTATACTGCCGTTTCCACTTTGTACACTAATCCACCGGAGTTTCCTCGGACTGGTGAATTTTTGCCGCCGTTTGTTTCCAACTGTGCTGGTATCCTCACACCTCTGACCGATATCAAGGAAGCCTTGTCTACCGCAACCATGCTTGCTCATCCTGGCACTGATGCCCCAATCGGCATCATGACTGATGCCTCTGACGTTGCCGTGGGTGGCATGCTCCACCAGCTTATTCACAACTCTTGGCAACCCATAGCTTTTTCTCACACAAGCTCCTTCCTGCCGAGACGAAGCACAGTGCATTTGGACGTGAACTCATTTCTGTGTACTTGGCGATCAAGCACTTTCGACATATGTTGGAAGGGCGGCAGTTCTGCGTGTTCACGGATCACAAATCATTGATCCATGCTTTCCACGCCAAGCCAGACCGTCACAGTCCCCGTGAAATTCGTCAATTAGATCTGATCTCACAGTACACCACCGAACTCAGACACATTAAAGGCAAGGACAATGCGGTTGCCAACACGCTCTCCCACCCTGAGATAAATGCCATGTACAGCAACGCGATGATCGACCTTGAACAATTGTCAGCTGCCCAGAAGGATGACGCCGAGTTGAGTTGCAACGCGACCTTGCAAAATCCTTTCACTAGTCTTGTGCTCTAGACCTTCCAACTCATTGCCTCTGAAGGCAGTATTATCAGTGACACGTCTACCGGCAGCCCCCGACCTTTTGTACCCAAACACCTCAGGCGCGCAGTGTTCAATGCTCTCCATGGCCTATCCCACCCAGTGACTCGTGCAACCCAACTCACCGTCACTTCTCGTTTCGTCTGGCCAGGTGTCAATGAAGGGATTCGCAAGTGGGCGCAATCCTGTCTACAGTGTCAGAAGTCTAAAGTACACAGGCATGTTAAAGCCCCACTCGGCACTTTTAGTACCCCAGATGCGCGACTTGTACATGTACATCTCGACTTGGTAGGACCGCTACCCGCATCTGGTGGTTACAGTTACCTCCTCACTTGTGTGGATAGGTTTACTCAATGGCCGGAAGCCATCCCTATTCCACAATTTTCAGCAGAAACAGTCGCGAAAGCCTTCGTAGAGCGGTGGTAACAGAGGGGTAACAGAGAGGGGCACGTAGACGAGCAACCCTACTCTGCTGATCAAGACCTGTAGGTGAGGGAGTCTGGCGCAGAACAACAACTACATATAGATGTGCCATGTCAAGGCCAGGAGGACAATATGCAGACTGCCGAGTACCTCAAGGGACTGGCTCAGTCACTTTGTGATGTAGAATTTGTTCTACTGCGTGAATCTTTCTCTGAGAGCAGACATATGTAAAGAAGTTGTTGGCTTCGAGATGTGAGTTACCTTCAGGTTAATCCGGAGTCCAAGGCTCATAGGAACATCTGTCTTGTCTGGAGGCCAAGGGGTAGTAAAAACGTACCTCCGTAATGACTTATCCGTTGAAGTGACAATGAGATAACTGAAGTATTCCTGTCCGTGAAATCTAAATGTTCGAGAACAGGAGTATTCCATGAAATTCAAGAAGTGCCTGTAGAAACTAGTAGGTTAGCGCCCATCCTCGGTTTCAACTGCCAACAAAGGTGTGACTAGATGTTGTCAGTCCATTGTGTACTGAAGGAAGACGGTTGAGTCAGGAGAACGTTAATAGGTAGGGCCTCATATAAGGATGGTAAGAGGTTCTAGGTTTACACGGTTCGCCCTCAGACTGAAGATATGTTGGTGTGATAAAGGCCCAGGCGAAGGACGAAAGCCGAAAATCGGAGAAAGTATAATGGCAGGGATCTCAAGATTAAGAACTCAGGACGGCTGGAGGGCTTATATGTGACGTTAAGGAAATCTCCAGCCTCATCTGTACATCCACCTATACCGAGAGCCCGTCGCCAAGGTGTTCGATTGTGGGAATAGGCGGTGAAAGATTACCAGAATAAGGGCCCCCAGGACACAGATAGAGTGACACGATCGAACTTCCTAAGTTCCTCTGACGTCGATGAAGCAGAGGAACTTGAATTCCAGTGGGTGGACCGGAATGGGAAGTAAAATAATTTAAGTCCACCAACGAAGCCTGGGTTGAATCTGACAGAGGCTGAGCTACTGTAAAAGGAACCTCATGTACATGGAATAATTACATGTAATTGAGAGTTTGTAATTGAGAGAGTAGACAGGTACCGGAGACGAAAAGGTTGCACCAAGTAGGCTGCTTGTACGTAGTCTACAGTCGTATTCACTGCACTGTAAACAAAAGGTAAAGTAAACATAAACATAGGTAAATCAGGTCTTGATGACTTATTAAATCAATACAGGACTAACATTTAGCCAACAGTGACTGACTTCGGTCAAATTTGACTAATATGTGAGTTATCTTTGCCGAATAAATTTTGGTCATTGGCCTGTCTGACTAATTTGAATTAGTCATTTTAGGCAGAGCTGGACTGACTTTTATTAGTCAAAATGACCAATTTTCCTTTACAGTGCAGAGAACTATTGGAGAAGTCAACCCGGATAGCGTACTTACCTGTTTCTTGGCCAGGCACCCCCCCGGCGCGGAGGTCTCGGATGCCGGTCGGGGGCTGATGGCAATAGTGTAATGATAGGAGACTGGGTCACGCATACTTAACGCGGCTCGCGTTGAGTATGCGTGACCCAGTCTCGTATTCACCGGAGGCCGCTCCAGAAGACAACGTAGGGCCGTCCGGTAAAGTGTAGTTTGTACTGCAAGCCTGGATGCACCAAAGAACAGTTGGTTCGAGGCACAGGCGTACAGGTGAAAGGTAGACGACGGAGTGACATACGGCGTTCAGAGGCCTCGGAGGCGAAACAGACTGGCTACCCGTGTTGTGGTCTGCACCGTGCATGCGTGGCCCGTAATGCGTCCATCGGGGCCGTACCAGCTAAGGCAGGGGGAAGCCCGGTAGCAGGTAGTGTCTTCCCATGTCTGGATGCCCCCGAATAAGAGAGGCGTGGGGCGCTCAGTGTGGCTGCACGTGAGTGGCGTTGGGTTGTCCCATCGGAAGCCTTGTGAGTCATGCTGCGTGGATAGGAAGGCGGTTCCGCTGCCCGGGACGGGGACGCGGACGCTGTTGTACCCGTGTGGCCCAGCATTGTCTCTGCAGGGGCCGCCCCGAGAGAGGGTAGCATCTCTATCACGCCCGGCTACACCGGTTTGAAAAGACGTCTGAAGACAGCGGCACCTGGGGGAGGCGGTCAGCAGGGTCGTCCCGGCCTGTGACCTTGTGAGCCATGCCGTAGGGCCATTGTAGACTACGGTAGGCGCTGGGGCGGCTTGAGGAGGTAGTTGCGGCCGGTGCAGGGGTACGGGGCCATTCCTGTGCGAGCTCTTGTGGTCCATACCAGTAGATTGGAGCGATCTATGGTGGGTCCTAGTGGAGACAAGACCGCCGCTGGACCTCATCGCTCGGTGGTACGCCAGGGAAGCTGAGCGCGAGGAAGGTATGCTCCACTCACGCCCGGCGTGTGGGCGAATGTCTGCACTAGTGACGACTGCGATGCCCCGGTGGTGGAGAGAGGGAGCTGACGCTTTCGGCTCGCTGCCCTACTGCTCAGACTCGCCCTTTGGAGTGTGGCAAAGCTATCCTGATCTGACAGAGTCTTTACAGAAGTTTGGGAATCAGTGGGGAAATCTCAAGTACAGCATACACCGCCACTCGATCAATCTGCAGACCAACCCTGTCGGTCTACAGGGCAGAGTTGGGGCCAACGGCCGCACCGTCTCGCAGAACCCCGATAAAGTCAAGGTCGCCCAATACTCGGAAAGCGGGAGTCGTGGAACGAATCGTCGCACTACATCGCACCCCCCCCCCCGATCCCGGGTCGCCTAAATATCAGGTCGATAGCATGGACTTTACCAGCGTCTACGGGATGTGATATTTGGGGTCAACAATTTATTAAAAGGTGGACGGGAAACAAGGGATTTGGGTGGCAGTCAAATAGTTGGTTTATTGGTCTCATTTCTCTTCATCAAAGTTCAATGTGGGTTTGAAGAAGGTGTAGCTTTACATAATAAAACACACAAAATGCAAAGTTAAGAGAGGCGAAGTTGTATACGAGTTTAACTGAACTACGGCTTGGCAGGACCATCGGAAATGCAAGTCAGACGGAGTGGGTACGGTACGGGTGTGTAGCATCACAAAACTAGGCTACACTCATCGGGCCGGGCCGTGGTGGGAGCTGTCCCTGACCACCACGGTGACTAGCATTGGCTGGACGGGGTCAGCGGTATGTACCGACAGCACTGCCGCTCAGACCGCAATGTGATAAGCGCAATGATAGAATCGCCGCACAAATATACCATTTGCTCAGCCTAGAGACGGGGAGGACCGGGGCTAGTTAGCAGGACAAGGGTGGCGAGGGACACGGGCAATCGGCTCGGACGTAGCGGTGACGGGCCGCTACGCGTCTCACTTGCACCCTGGGCTAGTTCGTACCGCTGTCGCATCGGTCCAAGCTAAGCTAGCTTGGCATTAATATGGTTACATTTCTTCGCCATAAGAATGGTTACTATCACATTTCTCTCGGAAAGGGTCCAACCGCCGCACTACGTTAGGTTTCGCTCTCACAACAAGGGTTTGGTCCGCCACACCTGACCGGCGAGCTAGGGAAAATTTGCTCTATTTATAGGATTCTAGACTAGTAGAGGATTTGGAATTTATACAATATGAGAGTCATTGAACAGCTCAGCCAATGGGAATCTTCTATATAAAAGGGTCACATGACCTCCTGTTAGAGTCGCGTGCAAGAATCTAACTGTCGCGTGTAAACAGGTGAAATACAGAATAAGAAGTCACGTGTACAAAGTGTAGACTGAGCCGGGTCCGTGAAAGTGCTTACCCAGTCATCTTTGGTGAGTGACTGACAGTTACATAGTCTGAGGTTTCCGAATATTAGCATTCCAGGGAGCCTTCCCACGCCCAAGCACGCGGCCACGTGGAGGGGAATTTTCGACATACCAAACTGAGCAGAGAAAACACAAGGATAAAGGAGTGAAGGAACACGCGATCACGCCAGAGTACAGCATGAATAACTTAATACAAAATCAGCGTCTCTGGTATATTTCCACATTGCATATCTGAGCTATATCAGAGACCCTGGGAATGGAAGGTACGAGGACGCGTCCGAGTAAACAAGATTTACAGGTGCGCAACAGTATATAACCCAATGTAAGGAGTCGACAGAGAATATCTACGTGGATGCATTCACACAAGAGAGAAAAATACCGACAAAACATGGAAATACACACTCACAATAAAAAATAAGACACAATGTCAAAAGAATATTTTGTTAGTATACTTTACGGTTGATTAAAATCACACAGGGACGTGGTAGGAAAACGGAAAACTCGAAAATCGAAGATGCCAAAAATGGACACGTCCGTTAAGAATCACGATAACAACTTAACAACTTTCAAACAACACTGAATGGTTGAGCATGCATAAAAAACCTCAATTCCAGAGAAAAAATGAAAAAAAATTGTCTAATGGCTGTACTTGTAGAGAAAATGCTCAAGGTTCAGCCTATAGCAAATGTGCACAAACTACTGCAGACAGCCTATGTACACTAACTAGTGCAAATACAATGTGCAGTAAGCAGAA